AGGAAAACCTCCTGTGTATGAAAAATCACATGTACTTATAGCCACATGAGGAGGATCTTAAATAAAGTAAGACATTTTTGCTTAAAAAGTCATTTTTCTCCCCCAACTTTTGACCAAGATGTGACGTGATTTTTCAGCTGCGCTTGGCTTCCTTTGCCTTCGTGCATTCATTTTTGAATAACTGTATAAATTTTTAAAGGTTCTGAACCAGTCCTATTGGTCACCATGTTCAATCATCTGGTCCATTGGAGTGAAAAAGCCACCTCTGACATGCGACACAAGCTTCTCAGAGCTTCAAGCTAACGCAGGTCCATTAAAGAGCAGCATCATTAGTCTCCATCAGTTCAGTGCTGCCCCTGTGTTTTCCTGCATTGGGCTGGCGGTACGAACTTGATGTATCACCGAGCTGCAAACAATGGTCTAAAAATAGAGCCTGGCTGACGTCTTTGCTCCGTAAGACGGTGCATGTTGGTACCGAATGACTGTGGATATCATATGCATGCATGTGTGTGTTGTTAAGTTCATGTGTGGACATAAACTCAGCTCATCCTCTGGGTTTTCACAGAGTAGATTCATGAAGTTGCTTTGATTGAACACGATGTTTGTTGTGTTTCGTCCCCAGCCTCTGTGTGTATTAAGAGGAAAGAAGAGATAAATGATGCTGACGGTAAAGGAGCAACACTTTACACTGTTTATTCTTTCACCACATTTATAATCCAACTGAGTCACATGTCATCAGAGTTAAGAAGGCGCATTAAAAATAAACTGGAAACTGATGCTTGAACTCAAGAGATTTGCAAAGCTGGAGGTGGTGGATGACTTTTGAGAAGATGTTGGTCATTTTGACACATTGGTCTCTTCTGATCCGGCTTTCCAACAAGTTTCACAACAGCTGTTTATTCATCTTTTCCATGCCAGTGGGACACTTTTAGGCTTCTCTGACAACTCCAAAATAATATTCTATAATTCACTCATATTTTACTGAAAGACTCACGACAGACTCGAAAATAAACTCAATTAGAAAGGTATTAGTCAAACTGAAAGCAAAGTAAATGGGAATATAAAGCTTTAAACTAAACCATATGTAGGATATTAGGCGTTTTCTGACCATCTTCATAATTTAACAATAAAATTGTCAATAAAAATTGGCATTAAGTGTCAGACACAAAATTATAAATTTACAGACACAATATAAGTAGGAATGTATGATTTTCCTGAAAGCTTACAATTATTTCTAGCACTATATGTTTATTGTGAGTGTTAGAAATTATGAGAACAGACAAAAATGGTTAAAAATGTACATATTAATAGTGTTTAAATGGCTCCTTAGAAGAACTGTTGCATTTCAAACAACGAGAGTTGAGGCTAAGCACTTTGGAAACCAACAGGTCAAACTCTTAATTTCAGCCCAAAATTATTCAAACCGCTGAATGATTCATGTTTCCAGTCATCTTCTACTTTTTCCAACATATTTCTTCTGAGTGAAAGCAAGATTCATGTTTCAGAGAAGCACAAAGTCTCATCTTGAATCTGGAGGGAAGTTAAAGGTCAGGGTGATGGCAAGGACACCTGACCTGAAGACATGCAGAAAACGTTTAGCAGTTACACAGGATTGATCTCTCTTATGCCAACAACCATGTTCCACTGATTTAGAAAGGTATGCATATGCTACGACATGTCATTTCTAAAATAAGGTGTAAATAAAGCCTTTCCCCCCCAAAATGTATGCTTCTTTCACACGTTAGTACGGTAAGGTGTGTCTTGTTTACTACCATAAACAAACTAAATCTAAATCTTGGACTATTTACTGTAAATACTAATGGTGACTTTCCACCATCCACAATGACTCTGAAGATATTTGGATGACATGAGTTAGGACAACATTTATAATCTTCATTTGAGATAAATTCTGAACTGTGATGTTTTCACTGATGATCAACCAAATGTGAGAATTTCACACAAGGCCATTTATTTATCAGAAAGTTGTTCTTGTTTGGCTCAAACTAAGCCCAGTTCCAGATTTATGTCTGAGGTCCATGTTAGCCAATCATCGCAACGGCAGAAGGTTTGAGGCATGGCTTGAACACCACATGATCTCACCGGTTCAGGTAACAAGCATGAAACCTCAGAAGCACTCAATAACATCACAGCTACACGCCTTTACATACAGTCATGTAATCAGTTCTAGGCTCTCACACACATTCAATGTCCTACTGTGGACAAGATTCACACACAAATGTGCTTGTGCGTGCAACTTCTCCTCCACAGTGTCGACAAAGACATCATCTTCATCAGTTTACTCTGGCTGTCTGCCACTTTGCTCTGGGCAGGAAACGCAGAAGAAACCTGCCTGAGTTTGTAAGCTGAGAACAGCTGTCCACAGGTTTTATGAGGCTTCACTGTTTTGGTATGTGCGACCAAAACAAAGAGCTGAACGAGCCTCAGGTGTTGAGAAAGAGAAGACTCACTTCTAGCAGCATCTTTGTTTGGTTTGGAATATAACCATGAGTACGAAACTGAATGCAACCTGCAGTAAACATTCATACAGCACCTTGCAAAAATTTAACTTTTTTATGGCGGACGAAATGGTTAATAGATTAGCCAATTACCAACATAATTTTTAACTAATTTAGTAATTGATTAATCGTTACCAGGAGTATAGAAACTCAGAACACACTCAGATCAAAGTATATGTATTTTTCATTTTTAGAAAAAGGACATTTCTGTCTGTAAATGTGTTCTACACAAAACTCAAGTAGAATAATTTGAAATTCACCCAGTTCAAATTCTATGAAAAAAAAAGTATTAAGCACATTTTTCTGTCCATTAATCAGGAAATCTAAAAAATAAACCAATCACCTCTTCACTGTATTGATAAATCACATGATAGCTGATGGTGATGGTTTTTTCGCTTCAGATGCATCCTTTGCGATAAATGATCAAGCATACACTACAGGATTGCTAAGTTGTTGCAATGAAATGTTATTATTTATAAGGGAATTGTATTATTTGTTTAGATGCATTTTTTAAAATACATTTTTGAAATGGTGTAAAAGAGGCTTAAATAAAAAAAAACTGCAAAAATACCTGCTATTTTAATACAATATTCATAATCAATAACTAAAATAATCACTAGTTGAAGAGCTATTTTTAAAAACTTTTCACATCGCAACTACCAATTTTATTGGGATTTTTGGATAATTATATTATGGGAGAAAAATTATGCTTTGCTTTCTTAAAAATAGACCAATTCTTGACATGTAGCAAGATAAACAGAATTTGACATATAGTTTTAGTGTTGGGCTGCATGGGGAAGAGGTTGGTGGCTACGAAGCAAGAAGGTCCTGGGTTCGAATCCCAGCTTAGGGTCTTTCTACATGTTCTCAGTGTGCGTGTGCAGCTTTTCTCTGCGTGCTCCGGGTTCCTGAGTGTGCGTCTCTGTTAATAGGTGTTGACCTATCATGGACTGGCGATCTGTCCAGGGTGCATTGACCATATGCTGCGTAGTGCCTTTTAAAAAATTTTTTAAATGTATGCATCTGACACACATAAGCAGACTCTTAGAGTACGAACACGCAGAGTGTTTCTGTTTGCTATGTAAGTGCATGATCAGGGAGAGAACCCAACATGAGAGCAAGGCTGCTGATAAGAACAGTTTCCCCGCTGCCGACTATTAATCTTGACAGTCCGCGTTCCTCTAACAGAGGCAAAACAACCTCGGCGTCCTATTTGGCCCTCCAACACTAAACCTGTGATTAATCTCATCACATTCACAAGAGCTTCAGGTCACGTCAAGTCCTGTTTGCCTTAGCAGCCAAAAACATTCTTTATGATGCTGTAAACAGGGAAGGGGGTAAATGAAAAATAAATAATAATAATAAAAAAAAACTCTCTTTGCAGTGAAGAAAAGTTCCTTTAAGGAGAATTATGCAAGCTGAGATGATATCATAAAATCGGCATGGACAGCACAGAAAAAAAGGAAGTGTGGGTGTAAGAAAGATGAAATTAAAGCAGAGAATCCAAACGCTGTTTCAATGAGAGACGATCTGATTTTAACGTCACTGTAAAGGGAAATGAACAGAAATAATCCGCCCTCTGCACAGCTCTGGAGATTCCTGCTTCCAAACTACTCCATTTCTGCTCAAATCGCTTTAATAATGTACAGATTCGAGAAAACGTACTTGCACCCTTGCAAATTCTTCATATCCAAGTTTTTTGTTACATTTGAACTTTTCAAATTTTATGAAGGTTTTGGACTGTCAAAGATCAGGCTTAAATTTAATTTGTGAAAAGGCTGGAAAACTCTCCAATGTGGCAAAATTAAAACAAGACTCCAAAGAAAATGGGACAAATTTCCTCTGCAGAGATGTAAAATAGTCCCACCTCTCAATATTAGAGTTATCACATATGGACAGTTTGGTTTGTTGCCTTATCCCATTAAAGAACAAAATTATTACTTGAAAACTGCATTTTCTTCAAAATATATTTGTAAAATACTTGGCGATCTGAAACATTTAGATGCATCAAAAAACAGGAAATACAGAATAAATCTGTAACATCCCTGAGCTAAAATCTACGTTAAAGATATTTCTTAAAACACAAGTATTATAGAGGAAACTATTGATGCAAAAAGATAAAGTGAAAAATCTCAATAACTCAGTTGTTTACATTCCCTTAAAGCTATTTAGAAAAAGCAATTCTTTAAAATACAACCAACTCCAAAGTTATACACCGAATTTACTGAATAGCTGAGCTATAAGACGTTTAATTTGTGCTTCCATTGCAGTTCCTTTCACCTTCTGGACTTTAGATTAAGACATATCTGCTCCTCCATTGCACTGCCAATACCAGATATCCACAGCGTTAGCAAATGCTTATGTATGAATTATTGAGGCAAACACTGCTATTTGCTTTTGGATGAATAAAATCTTCCACAACTAGAGTTTAAAGAAAAAAGTGAGAGGAAGAGAAAAACCAAAAGTGGTATAGTCTCGTCTTACCTTCCAGCACTGTGAGCTTGGCATTGGCGTTGATCTCGCCAACGCTGTTAGTGGCGGTACACTCGTAAATGGCTTCGTCTCTGTGGGTGCGCAGCGGCTGGATCCGCAGCACGGAGCTCGCGCCGTCATCGAATTCAATCACCTGCGGGTGGAAAAAGCACAAGCAGAGAAAAGTTGGCTTTCTTTTCCAAACATTTATTGCACATATAGCCAGTTTGGAAGGATTGTTGTTTGATCTTTCCACAAACTCTTTCATATGCTCTCACATGCTGCCCCTCCTGCTAAAGTTTGAAAGTTTTCAGCAGGTGCAATTCAAAAACAGTGAGAACTCCCACCTAAGATGTTCTCCTTGTGTTCATAGGTGCTTAAAAGAAGGAGGGGAATACTTTAAGGGAGTGCATGACCAGATTGGGTGAAGCTCAGGAATAGGAGGAGGAGGATGGAGGAGCAAAAACGCAGGAGAAGATGAAGGGTGACTGGGGAAAAAAAAAAAAAAAAAAATCAAGAAGAAGCCAGATTAAAGGGAAGTGAAGTTTTTAGGTTTTTACTTGGAGAAAAAAAGAGTTGATTTGACTTCCAAAAAATGGATGTGGCACAGCACCCTTGCAAAATTATTCCCACTGCTTGAACTTTTTCACATTAAGTCCAAGTTTTTATCGTCAGTTTTTGCTGTAATTCTGCTGGTGCTCGTCTCTATGAGCTTTTCACATCTAAAGATGGAAATATTTTCTCATTCTTCCTTGCAAAACTGATCAAGCTCAGTGAGACAGGATACAGAGAATCCACAGACATAAATGTTCAATCATTTGGGTCTGGACTTTGACTAGGCTTATCAAACACATCAGTAACTATGCTGTTTTCCTGATGGAAGGTGAAAATCCTGGTTTAATGTTAAAAAATTGACCAGACTAAAATCTCATTACCTAATAATGATTTTGTGCAAAAGCTATAATGAAAATATTTCATATTTCCCATAGATCAATCCAAACCTGTACAAGAAAGCACAGTAGGTCATAGCTTGCAGCTGTTTTTGTATTTGCATTTCTCTACCTCGAATCGCTGGGAGCTGACTTTCTTGCCCTTCTTCATCCAGGTGATCCTCGGCCTCGGCTCTCCTGTGGACCGGCACACAAACGATGCAACCCCGCCCGAGATGCCAGTCTGGTCCTCGGGGGTTTTGATAAAACTCGGCTTGCCTGGGAAGGAAAGCAGAACAGAAGGGCAGAAAGGTGAGAGTAGTTTTTTTTTTTCTTCCACCTGCATTTTAAAACGTGGCAAAACCTCAGATATCACTTTCCCCTCACAATAGCAGGCATGAGACAACTCACACGGGCATTGTTGCTGTGAACACCTACAGCTCAGTCATGGGAAAAAAAATCCAGCCTTTTGTGTCTGCCTGTCACTGCATCATGTTGAATTTCTAACATTTATGTGTTTGTCTTTCCTCTTTTAGGATGATACACCTAAACCAGCTGCCATCCCCCACAATCCAAACACGGCAAACTACTGTGTTCAGACTCTGTTCATCCTTCAGACTTCACAGATTATATGTGTTTACAACAACACTGTGCCCTGCCATGGAGAGCTCCTCCAACTGTTTTTCTCTCTCTGCCTTCAGGGGTTTTTACTGGGCACCACACCCAGAGTCATTGTGCCCAAAACAATGAGGACTGCATTTCATTGACAGGCTGTCAAAACTGACATGACGCTACAATGAGCACACCTTGAGCTCCGTGATACGGCCTCCCCGTGCAGACATGCATAATCCCGGCTTCGAGAACGTGAGCCATTGTCCTCATTAAGGCCTCCGTCAGTTCATGTTTCATCTGTGGAGTCATTAAAGAGGCAGGTGGGGGCGAGGGGATCACCTGAACCGCAGACGGAGGCATGCACAATGGAGGTAAATCATTACACCATGTATAAATAGGAGCTGCTAGCTTTCCCTCAGTGAGATTGTGGAAAAATATGGGAAAGGGGCGGATCAATATCCAGTTAGCATAACTCTGCACCGCATTCAGACCTGGAGGGAACCTGCAGTGATCAGCTTCTCCCAGGTCCACCTATCAGGTCGCCAGTCTCTATCTTTGCGTTATTGAGGAAGAAGAAGAAATGTTGCAAACTGTTGTTGCTTGGGATCACTTTCCCACCTCGAGGGATGACACACCGATGATGTCAAGAAAATAGATACTGCAGGTCTGCAGGTGCTGAAGTGCGAGAGAATGCGTAACACCTTCACGTCACTCTGGATGATTTTGTAACCTCTAACTACAGCTGGTCAGAGACAGGGGCCATCATTAGGTGAAACATCAGCCAGAAAATCTGCAGGTTTCAAATATTTTCTGTTTAGCTAAAGGAAATGTACCTGTTTTTGAAAGATGTAAATGTCGTCATATTAAATTATCTGTTTATATGATGCTGAATTGGTCAAAAGCATAAGTATGACAGAAAAAACAATTAATTATTCCTGATACAAACTCAAGGAACACATTTATTTTATTCTAGTCTTTCATCAATTGATGCATCCATCATTTATCCGACCCATTCACCCATCCATTTATCCATCCTTTAATCAGCAAACCCGTTAATCCATTATTTAATCGGTCAACTCATCCTTTAATTTGTCTATCACCCATCCATCCATCAATCAACCAGTCAATCATCCATCCATCCTGTTAAATTTAATTTTTTATGCCCTCTGTATCTCTTGGGATTACCGTTTATGATATCATAGCCCAGTAGTAAATCCTTTTCAATTGCTGCAGAGTGACTTACTGACAAACATGCAGGTAGCAGCGGGTGAGCTATGTTTAAGATTACAATTCGATAAGCATTAAGGACGTATGCCTGAGCATGCATCGCTGCGCGCATGGCTGCTGTGCTGGAATCCCGAAGAAGCGATTATCACCAATCTGACTTCCAAGAGCCGCTGCTGACATCTGTCCATAGCGGTTTCATTTAAATTGCCATCGTTCCAGTTTGTGATTTCAAGGGAGGATCAAACAGCTTAAAAAACAACAACAACAAAATGCTTGCTCCCCTTACTTTAAATAAAAAATGTCAAAAATATATGTTGCTACAAACATTTAAGTCAAGTGTCAGTAAAATGGAGGATCAGAGTTAACTGACCTCACAGCCTTGTATTTCCTGCATTAATCCTCTCAAACATGCTTCCATGGTTGACCTATAACTCAAAGGCCAATCTGCTTCAAATTTGAAGCTGCTCATCGTTAATCCAGATCTCAGATTCAGTCACAAAACTCTCGAGAAGCCCTCTGGTGACCCTACATCCCTGACTTACAGCTGGGGTTAATAGTGGTCCAAGCACTCTCCAACAAACAGCCAGGAGTGTTTACTTCTCGACTCAGAGATTTTGTGTTCCTCCATTGCAGTTGCCACTGCAGGCGAGTGAGAATATAAAACTGGTGGGTTTGTCAGTTCTTTTCTAAAGGAAACAGAATCCAGACTCAACCTTTTCTTCCTTGCCTGTGTCCCATTTTTCTGCCTGTCAGGCAGTTGTCACATGAAAACAATAAAAAGGACAAGGTGGAAAACACACGAACCTACCTATGCAAATCCTTCTCTCAGGCATGACTGCAAGCTCCAAGATGCACTCCTTCAGTTCTTTGAAACATAACATTCAAAACTACAATGCACAGAAGTTTCTGGATTAATTGTCCAGAATAGTTTGGCAACAAGTTTGTACATTTGTACTGTTTAAGTTTTTCAAGTGAGGAGACTCCCACAACTTGACAACAAAACAGTTTTATTGTATTAAAGTCCAACTAAAGCCCAAATCTTTTTTTTAAATAGATAAGCTGTATAAATTGGTTGTTATAGATACTATCTTTTGTTTCTAAGCCAATTGCAAAATATTTTGTAAATAACTTTAATTCTGATATATTTTTGTCAAAAACCATCCCAGTGCTGTCCGCTTTGGGTTGAATGGCAATTCTGCAGTTGAATTTTCCTATTAGTTAAACTGGCACAGCTTGGTTGTCTATTCATCCTGATACTTGGTCACACTCCTCTGTGTCTTTTAATTATGCCCATTTTGGTGGAATGTTTTTAAAAAATTGTCTGTGGGCGATTTAGTTACAATTTAGATATAATTTTTATTACACAAGCACGCTACAATTGTTCCAACTTCTGCAAAAATTAGATTGGAGGAATTTTGGGGGGGAATTTCTGCAACAAAATATTATATGTTAATTAATAAGTTGGTCTATTCTCCATTTTGTTTGTCTCTGTTTTAGGCTCCTTCTAGCTAGCTTACAGTGAGAGAATATGCAGAAACAAGCGGGGGATGGGGAGAGCTGCATCACTATCTATAGAGTGGAAGAACACCGGTCGCTTCTTTGGGACTTTGAAAAACATCAAACAGTATTTTACAAAGAGTAATTAAAAAAAAAATATATATATATTGGATACATTTTTGTGGTAACCATCAAACACTTACAGACACTAAACTAATGTCTTAGAAAGCAGCATCGCTTCAAAACAGTACTGCTGTGCTGAAATGGATACGTGACTGGGGCTGGAAAAGAATATTTTACCTTTCCAATAGTAAGAAAAAAAATACTTTAGTTATATAACTAATAAAGTGAATACATAAATTTATAAATTGAAAAAAAAACACATTTAGTGAAAAAACAGTCTGGACAAATTATAGAGTCATTACAGAAATGAATTTAAACCTTTTTAGTGCTTTAAGGCCAAAAGCTTAACACAAAGTGCTGGCACTTTCTAATCGTCGTCATTAAAACTAATTCATAATGTTTGGCTGGTATGCTGCAGAGCCTATGTTTAGCAGTGAAAGATTCATATTGGTGCCATGAAGATGTGAAACTTAAGGTTGCAGGATGTTGACGAGTCTACACAGAGATCCTGCTTTTATGTTGGAGTGACGGAATATAAAGCCTGCTGACTGCTTTGGGTTTGGGGATTAAAATGCTTCTGTCAGTTAGCTTCATGCCTGCAGCTGTATTTGTGGGGTCTGGGGCTTTTAAAAGCTTGAAAGGTGTTGGGTGGGGGTGCTATGGCTCTCTTATATTTCACTCGATTGATCTCTAGTTGTAAGGGTGGCTGATCAGGAGAGGTAAAAGTTCACCAAAGCAAAAAACAAAATGAAAGGCTTTAAGTTCGGAAGAAAACAGCAGATGGGAAATTGCAAAACAGATAGCAAAAAAATAAGATTTTATGCGCAGTTGTTCATGATAGTAAAAAGTTTTTTTTTCTCCTCTTCTTGCTGAAAGCCTCACAGCAAGCTTGTAATAAATGCAGCAGCAGCAGAGAGAGAGCTGCGTAAATGGCTCTTATGTGGCTAACAATTAGTGTATTCCCTAGCCTGCCAGGGTGCCCAATGAGAGAGCTACTCTGCAGGGTAGAGTATCAGCGATCGATACACACACAGCAGAGAAAACCATTAATTCTTATTAATAATGGATTAGCAAGTTATCATTTTCATGGGACAACACTTAGTGGGAATTTGTCTGATGGCATCAGCATTGGTTGTTTTAATGGAACACTTCCATTAAGGCCCTTTTCAGACCATTAGCAGGCAACTTGTTTGCAATTAATTCCATATAAAGCTGTCTTCCCTGGAAGTTATTTACCCTGACAGAGTCAACTGCACTTCGGGCTGTTTGTTTAAACCAATAAACATCATGTTTTCTATCTGCGCTTCTGTTTTATGGCTGAAGTCTGAAGGAACACCGGGTTATTTGGTATTGAAAATGTCATATGTGCAAAGACCTTTTAACAAATTTCACAAGGATATAAGTCATTGTGGGTCTGTTTGCTCAATGTACAGTTGACAAACACCAAATATACCTTAATATGCACTAACAGGCAGTTAAAACCATCTCTGCTCTACTGCAGAAGCCAACATCTACTGTTTTCCTTATTTCTGCTCTTGGATTAAATTTCACACTGCTTATAACCTCCTGAACAACTATTAATAATGTTGATGGTGATATATCAGACCTACACCTTCCCTTACTCCAGAATTTTCAGACAACGTGACATGAAGCAGCTGAGAACCAGCTGTTGTTGTCACATTTATCTTATTGGTATCTCATACTCCAAAATACCTGAAGAACAAATGCCTTTCCAGGTGCTTGCTGGATGTCTCAGTTTCAATATTCTGCTCACATTACATTAATAAGACAAAAACCAGAGATTTCTTTTTTTCTTTTAT